CCGTGGTCAGCTGCTTGAGAGAAATCTCTTTCCCCGGCATGACGGCTGTGGATTTGTCAGGCAGGTAGGACTAACTCTGCTTTTCTATCTTCCATGGGAGGAAACGGTTGGCTTGAAAAGGGGGGTTAGAGTGTTTCTGCGCAGTGTTACTGCATTTGTTAAAAAGTTGACTCCAGCCCTTTCTTAGAAGTTGCATTTTTTTAAACTAAGGGGGAAATTACTCATTTAGTCTGTCCCGTGGCATGAACAGATCCCCTCTAACTCCATCCCGTGGCTCCCACGTCAAGCCCACAGCACCTGGCTGAGCTGTAAGATCTTGCATTTTTATCTCCAGTTTCCTCCCCCTGCCATTTCCAAGAAGCATTTGGTAACTTTTCTTTTGTGTTGTGCTTTATGAGGAAACTATTTAGGACACACCAGAAAGAGGGAGTAATACCAGAGCAAGTGGTGGCAGAGGAGCCGTTGGAGGGTGCTGGGAAGGGTCTGGGTGGCGGGGTGCTCTTACCGTGTCCTGGCCTAGCTTGGGCAGGTGAGCAATTGTACATGGCAAGAAACTAATATGAATATTTAAGTGTCTAGGTTTCATCATTTTATATTCAAAGCATCTCAAGTGGATGCCATTAAGAAAAATCAGTGGATATGGGCATGAGACAAACTTAGAGAGAACCTCAATTTAAAAGCATTTCAGTTCTTGCACCTAGCGTGGTGGCAAATTGCAAAATCTGCAACTGTTTTCCATTTTTCAATTTTCATCAATAGATGCTGCTGCCATGGAGGTCATTAGCGCTCAGTCGATGGCACCAGTGCTAGATCTGGTCCAAGGAGTGTTGCAAGGCTGTAGAGTGGTTTTAAGAGTCATAAAGGCTCGAAGGAGCCCAGGCATCTTGGATTCTTCTAGCCACAGCACTTCAATTTCTTTGGACAGTAACATTCACTAAGCTAATGGTTTTTCAGCAGATATATGGTGTTTATTAAAGAAACAAAACCTGAAATATCTGAGATTATCACCTGCTTGGAG